GTGGGGGGGGGGGAAGGTAGTGGTTGTAGTATTTGGTGGGTAGCCATGATAGGAGGCACCGGAAGAAGGGGGGGAGGGTGAAAGAGACGCTCTCTGAATGGTGTTGACGTAAATTCAAGCTCTGGTGTTGTAAAGAGTGATGAGAGGAAGCAGGGGTGAAACTTTAATTAGGCCTTAGGTGTATGTCTGTAAATGTTAAATGGGTTATGTAGCGGTATGATGAAGAGAGATTGGTTTCGAATTTTCTGAAATAAATCTAGAGTGGTGTTGTGTTCTGCAGTGAGCACAATTTCAAAGAGGGTAGGGTGTTGGAGGGGGCAGATTTTCGGGTAGTTACCCGCATATCTCCCCGTCTAAAAGGTGGTGTGGAATTTTAATAATGGGAGAGAGCCCCGTTTGATTTTGCAGAGAAGCGAGGGAGGAGGGGGAGGGAGGGTGCTGCGTGTGGATGGTGTGTGGATGGGTAAGCGATGTGTCTTTTGTGAGTAGTGTATAGCGCCGGCAGAAAATAACATAAAGTTTAAGAATGCATTTTGTGTGTGAGGAATCTTGTGTTTTTCTTAAGTGGCACTGCCAGAGTGGCGATAGTTGGTGGGGAACTGGAATAGTGTAATCAGGGTGGCTGATGTGGACCCAAGAGGAGCTGATATATGGCTGTGGCTCTTAGGGATTTATTTAAGGGTGTTAGGTTACGTGATGCCTTTGGGGGAGCGGTGTGGGAGACTGAATATACGTTTGTTAGGAGTGGTTATTGCTGCGAGACTAGATAGAGTGTACCATTCTCAGGGAGTGGACGTGAAATCTTTCAGTACTGTTGAGGCTACAATGTCAGATCATAGGGCTGTGTGGTGGAGGTTGGGGTGGGTGACGCTCAGCGGGACATATATAGAAGTTATTGGAATTAAATATAGTGTGTTAGGAGATGAGGGCCGGGTTTGAGGGGTTTTCAGTCTCCTATGGAGGGAGGCTTAGTGTGGAAGAACAGGGGAGTGGATTAGACATTGTGACATGGTGGGATAGTTGTCGCAAAGAAATAGATTAGAAATTTTTATGTGAGAGAAGGAAAAACGTTATTATTAATTTATAAATATGGACTGGCTAACTATTAGAGGATAGGTTAAGAGGTTGCTTGGGTGGGGGTGTGGGGGTGGGAATATTTTTCCTATGGATGAAATAGCTGAAAATAAAGGGGAGTTGCGGGTGTTGCAAAATGAAAGGTTTCAAGCTGTAAGGATGCAGGCAGGGTGGAGGAAGTGCGTTGGGCGACAAGCCGTCAGCGTTGTGTTTTGCGGCATCAACAGCAAAGGCAGGCGCTGATCGGCTATACATGGTTAGAGTAACGTGAGATGGTTTGGGAAGGAATTATAGAGTAGGCAGGAGATACGAAACGAAGGGGATGTGTGCGTCTATGCGGAGGCCTTGGGTACGAGAAATACATGGAACAGTGGGGGGGTGGGTGAACCGGGGCATTGGACAGGTGGGTACGTATGTGACGTGTACTTTGGAAATAGTGATCGAAAGGCTTTAGGTGGGACGATTTACGGCAGTAGGAAAATAGAGAATGCGTTAAGGGGAATGAGTGAAGGGGAAAGCTCCCGTATGATGGTTACCTGCTTAGAATTTTATTTACAACATTGAGGCGTTGATTAAAGGAAATTTATAGTTAGGTTATTTAATAGTAGAAGGAGAAGGGTAAGTTGGGGGAGAAGCAGGAAACAGCAGTTGTAGTGTTGTCCCGAAGGTCAAGGGGCAGCCCACCCTTCGGGAGTACCGAGGCATATAATGATGTGTGCAGACTATAAGGTGTTTGCAAGAATTTTAGGTAATAGGTTCAAATGTGTAGTGGAGAGGGTGGTGTCAAAAATCTCAGTTCGGGTTGCGGATGGTCGATGATTGAGTGACATGGGGTAATGAGAAGTTTTTGTGGAAGCTAAGGGTGGGGGTGGAGGGGCGGCTTTGTTGGCTCTAGACTGGCAGGGGCAATATGATAGAGGGGGAAAGGGAGGGAGAGCTTTGCAGGTTATACTTAGGAAGAAGGGTTTTGGGAGGAAATAGTAGAGTGGGGGTATATACGTTGTACAAGGGGGCGGAAAATGAGGTACAGATTAATGGGTGTATGGGAGGGAAATTGCAATGGGAAGAGGCCTTAGTCAAGGGATGCCCCATGTCCCAAATATTGTTTGCGTGTTTCCAGGACCCTTTTATAGAATGGTTGACCGTTGCTTATGTACGACCATGTGAGGGAATTAAGTGTGGGGGGTGGGAGGCCTGGCCGGGGTTAATTGGATTATGTTGCGACCACCACTGTTCTCATTTTCGTGCAGGGATGTCAATGAGAGTGTTGGACGAGGTGGTGCAATTATTTGGAAGTGCGGGTATGCAGGTAAATAGTGCGAAGTCAAGGTGCATGGGGGTTGGGTTCTTGGGTGTGGGGTGGGGGGGGGGGAGATGTAATGTTGTTAAAGTATGGGCGGTGTCTTTAAAGATTTGTGGTATTATTTATAGGGATGGACATGGTTGCGGCGCGGGATGAGGAAATTCGGATAGGTTATTGGGAAAGGATCGTGGGCGTCTAGGTGTTCTGAGACCCCAGCACCTAACTCTGATTACAGCGAGTGATATTCTGTGAACATTTTATTGTATAGTAAGGTTTGGTATGTTGGCAGCTTGTGTCCCAATTACAGGACAGCGATTGCGGGGATCTAAGACGGCGTGTACAAATTTTTATGGGTTCACTTGTGATTGGTTACGGAGGGAGGTAGTATGTTACCTGTAAGTCAGGGTGGGTGGGTGGGGTTGTTGGATTTGAGACGGAGGGCTAAAATGTGTGTTTATTAAAATGGGAAGTGTTGCGTGAGGTAGTGAACGCGGGGCGTTTGGGAAGGATCTCACGACAGGATGGGTTTTGTGGTATAGAGGAGGGAATGAGTTAAGGGAATGTGAAATAGTTTTGAGGGTGTTTATGTTGTTAGGGAACTGAGAAAGGTTCGTTATAAGGGGTTTTTGTAGGTTACTTGTAGGTAGGTGCGTCTGTCCCAGTTGAGGGTTTGTTTGTTCCCCATGTATGCGGGGAAGAGTATTGGGTTTAGATCTAGTAATTGAAGTTTAAAAACCTCGGGCCGCGTGAGGTGATGTTCGTTTGCTGCATGGGATCCTTCCGTCTGGTGAGATATTACCGAAACAACAGGTTGTAGAGGGTGGGGGGTGTGTATTGTGGAGGGGAATGAGACAGCGTTCCATGTAGTTTACTTTGTGAAGGGCTAGAGGAGGTTAGTGTGCTGTTAAGTAGGTTGGTACAGAGGGTGGGGGGCGTGGGGTGGTTGTCGGTTGTTTTTTTTGCCGTGCTCTTAGTCTAAAGTATGGGTGGGTTAGACGAGGGTGGTCATAAGAGATTTAGTTATATCATGGTAGATTATATATATATGTCGTGAGGTGATGAGGGGGGAGGGGATAGTGAGGGAGAGAAGAAAGGTTTTTGCGGTAACGTTCTATAAGTACGAGGCGTGTCGTAACAGAGATTTGTATGGGAGGAGGTGGGATCAGCTTTCTCAGAGGGGTATAGAATGCTAACGTTGGGATTCTCGTAAATCTGTGATTGGATATGAGTGTGAGTGAAGGGTTTTCATAGGTTGGAGGGAGTCTGGGGCTGGGCAACTGCGGGCTCGGCCTCCTGGTGGGGGGGGGTCGTGAGAGTGTTGGAATGTGGGTTTGGAATGTTTCCTGGTTTTTAATGGAGACTTTATGGCATCCAAGTCGTGGATGTAGAGCTCAAGGTCTCGTTATGGTAGATATAACACTTTTCAGAATGGTGGAATAATATAGGTAGATTTTTTTATGTATAATTATGGTTGTGTTCAGTCTTGTATAACATGATTTCTTGAGAAATAAGTTATTTGCAGACATGAAGTGTGTTTTTGTTTGTCTTTATGTTACGATGCTGGGTTTTTGCACTATGAGATATACTTATATCTGTTTTGCATTGTGCATAGTGTATCTGATTAATGTGATTTTGTTGAAAATTTTTGTGTACGCCTGTGGGTTGTGTGTGTGGTTGTGGGTGTGGGTGTGTGGGTGTGTATGTGTATATTTATAAATATATATCTCTTTCTATTGTATTGAGCCTTTGTCATGGGTCAGACGTTTTATGTAATACTTATATACGCTGATTGATTCTTTTTAAAGTTATAATTATGGTCTGTACCCTGATACCGGTTTGATTGTTCATGCAAGTTCTTGATGTTAGTTTTAGTCTGATATGGTATACAGACATATCTAGACAGTTTGTGACGTAGTCCATTTGTCTGAAGTTTATATGGGTGTTTGTGTACAGTATGTATAGAGCTTGTTATTGTGTTCTAAGCTGTATTCTTTTCTGTTTATTTGTATGTTGGGATATGTTCAGCTGTATTGTTAGGGATAAGTATGTAGATTTTCTAGTCAGATTATGATGTTAGGTTGTTGGTTTTTTGATTAATGTGAAGGATGGGGATTTAATGATAAACTTCTTTGTATATTTTATGTTTCAAGTGTATTGAACCTTTGTCAGATGTCATTTATAGGTACAATTTATATATATGCAAGGTTTTGTATATATGTCAATTTCAGAACACCTGTGACTATGTAATTTTGTTTTTAGTTTATGTTCTTGATGTAAGTTTTGTTGTAATATCTGGCGAGCATTTAATACAATACGTTTGTCAGTTAAAGTTGATTAGGTTCCATACTGTTTCTTTATTTTTATGTTAAACTGTATTGGTTTTTAATAAAATATAAAAAAAAAAATAAAAAAAAATTCTCCTTTTTTGACTCAGTATATAATGTTTTCGGCCAAGATTGGTTCAGGAGCTAGGAGGGATGTATATATTACTAAATGTAAAAGGAGACTTCGTTTTTTCTATTTGGGGCCACCGATGCCTCGGAGAATGCCAAAAGAGGTTCAATGTATGGAACACTGCTTCTTATTATAGTCTGATTTGATGGTATTCTTTTTTCTCCCATTAGGGGAGTCGGACCAATCAGAGATAATGAATTAACCGGGCTGATCCGCGGCAAAGTGGAGCAAGCCCCTAGCAACTTCGCATGAATCCAAAATCAGTTTAATATCGAAGATCCCACATAGACCTATTCAGATACCAAGCTGATAAAGAACAGATTTTTATTTTCGGAAAAATGCTACAAATGGGTTCTTTACATCTTGTTCAGAATAATAATTTATTTTTATATAATGCAAAGCAGACTCAGTGTGATGTTGCACTATCAAAAAATTCTAATCTATATGTCCTAAACATCAAGTTACAAGTTCTTGATGTTAAAAATTTTACAATGTTGTTAATACTGACTAGTACTCTGATTATATGATTCATGTGTATATCATCATTGACCTTTTTATGGACGTCGCTCACACGCAGCCTCGGAAGAGTTTTTGATACTTTCGTGAGGCCAGGTCGTTTCATTAGTCTTCCATTTGCTGGGTCGTAGTTCCTAGGGAACCGACAATGAAGGCTTCAATGTACGGTGTAGTTCTGCGTAATTCAGCTGCAAGTTGGGCATACTTTTCTTCTTCCTCAGTCTGCTGTCGGCACGAATGCTCTAGTCAATTCTCGAAGGGGCATGTAAATCTATCAACAGTGCATCACCACCTTTGTGATGACTAGGTATGGTTAGTCCTGTGTCTTGTGCATCTGCAAACACGCTGATTCTCGGAGATGAGTCTCCACCCTCGTCCCTTGGCTGCCTTCTTGATCCTTCCACTAAAGCATTGTGTCGCAGGGTCATGGTGGTCGGGTGTCTCCAGCAGTGGTTATAGGACATGTGGTAGTTTGGTCTCTAGTTGTGTAGGGCATCTTCGGCATCGTCCGGTCACCTCCCTGTCATAGTGACGTGCGCATTCAATGGTAGCATGTTTAGTCTTGCTCGGTGTAATGAATCTCAGTCGGCGGACGGGTGTGTATGTTCCCTCTCTCATGAAGTGTGGGATGATGTCGTCCTGTGCACTACTTTCATCACTTTCCCTTGGTCTGGTTTTGCTTGCGGCGTGAATATCCCTGGAGCTTCGGGTGAGTGATTCTGATGGTGCGGGCGACTATCCACCGGTGTCTTTGTTCCTAGTGAAAAAAAAAACAAAGAAAATCACCAATGATAGCCCCAGTGTTCTGCTTTCGCTGTTGTATGACCATGTCCACACCCATCCTTCCCAGAGGCATCCCTCTGCCCATGGACCACAGTGTTTGTTGCCCTATGCTCGTCCATCTCCTGCTTTGACAAGAAGGCACACGCATCCTCCATTTGGGGTTGTTGGTTCGTAGTGATTGCAATGCTGGCAGTCACTCCGGGCAATGTCTCTGGTGCCCTAGGTCCAATGAGGTGGACGCTAAGTTTGTAGGCCGTGTCCCCCGGAAAATATGTCAGATTCTTCTGCTGCAGAGGGAATGCCACAGGCCCCAGCTGGGCGCTTCCATATATGTATTCATTAGACGCACGAGGCTGAAGATACAGGGTCTTTTTAATCAGAGGTCGCAATTGCACAGTCAGAGTGTTGTCAATCGGTTTTCCTCATTTTTGCCATGTTCGCATGGCAGACACAGCGGATGGGTAGAACAAACGTCTTCAAGGTGCATCCAATCGCTGCCAGGGTGCGAGTTTGCTTTCGAGTATGTCTCCCTAGGGTGATGTAGTTTCTATGATGGCTATATCAGGATAGTAGCTGAAACCCAACAGGGCGCCCTAGGAATTTTGTCGTCTGTCCATTCTTCAATGGACAAAATCTGTGTGTCTTCTACAAGGAAATGGAGTTCGTCTCATCCCTCGATGGGCTGGCTCCGGAAATGTGCAGGGCGGTGCGTTTTGGCGGGGTTGATGGTTAGCCGAAGCTCCCGACATGCTTGTGTGCGACGTTGAATGAGCTCCTGGCAGTTGTTCTGGTGTCTGTGCTAATAGAGTGATGTCATCGGCTATGCTAGGGCAGGTTCTTCGGCTGGGGGTTTGTTAGTCATGGCCAGCTGTTTATTGATCTTTCCAGGTTGCCTCTATTAAAACCAAAAATTTGTTGAATTAGTAGTCCACTAATGGGGCATCCTTGTCGAACTTCCCGTTTGAGTTGGGATATCAGCAGTCTCTCTTCATTGGTCATGATTTAGGGTGGAATTACCTTGTATTTCATCCACTGATTATCCTCCGTGAAACTCCTCGCCCGACACCCATAACGGTCCAGTGACAGCTCTATTAGTTCAGTTGGAATAGAACAAAGGCTAGTTTGTGAAGTTAGTCGTGGCTATACAGATGTCCGTGTTGCCACTGCGGGCCTTCATCAAGGTAGTGTTGAAGGAATTGTAGTTATGTTATACTACCCGTACTGGGCATAAGCCTTTTCCTCGTGCTGGGCACAGTTACGTCTTGTCAGTAACCACTGTCTGAGGCGGGGCAGCTAAACATCCCTTTTTTTTTTGTAGGAGTTTGTAGATAGTTCTGCACAGTCGACTGGTATCCAGTGGTTATACTCCTTTAGGTCGCCACTCTTGGGAATCAGTTTGGTGCGTGAGGGATTTCCAGGCTTTGGGATGCGGCCCTCACGTAGACAAATGTTAAAGATTGCTGTAATAACCCTGACCACTGGTCTGCAAGTTGCCAGTTTGTAGGTCAAGCGGTCATCACTGGGGCAGTATTTTCGCCTTAGCGGAGCCTGAATGTTACTTCCTTCTCTGTAAAAGGGTTGAGTTGAAGGGTGTGGTCTTTCTTCGGTTGGGAAGGAATTGCCTTCACTAGTGCTGGGGCTCTAGGGGGTCAAACATACTCTCTGGATCTGTCGGAAGTGTGCCTATCCTTTCCTTAGGTAAGTGCAACGATACCCTCACCCGTAGTTATTAACCGACACAGCTCTTCTTCTATTAATCTGTATAAGCGCTGTTATGGCTTTGCAGTCGTTAACATCAATCGTCCCCGGCGGGGTACTAGGGGAGTTATTTCGTTGAGTTGGTATGGAGTTAGCCTGCTGAATTCCTCAGTCCACCTCCGTGTTTAGCTCGACCAAACTGTCCCAGTCTGGGTTGGGTAGAACATAAGCAGGGGACCTAGGAAGGGCTCGAGGATCCAATCCTCCACAGCTTCGTCGTGGTTCGGCGGTTTCCCTGGCTTGTATCCTGATGGACCCCTCCTGGCAAGTGGGAGTGGTCAATGGGCCTTGACCGCGTCGCTGGGGTAATGGTCTCATCTGATAAAAGAATGGGGAGAGGCGGTGGCGGCTGGACCTGCAAAGAGAGAGGTAAGGGGGAATGGAACAGGAGGGGGTAGAGGGTGTGGGTCGGGGTGAGAAAGGAGGAACGAAGAAGAGTTGTGAGGAATGGAGGTAAGACTAGAGAGGGACGTGTGGTGGGGAGACCAGGTCCTGGGAAAATCTGCTGGGTCCCAAAGGTTATGTGGGAAGGGGGGAGAGAGGGTAGAAGGACGGCCCCCCCCCCCCCCCCCCCCCCCCCCCCCCCCCCTTTTGGGGGAAAGGGCTAAGGAAGCTGTGTTGGGTGGACTTGCCGTGTTGCTGGGGATTGTTCAGTTTCTGCTGAGTTTGTTGTTCAGGGGGACCACCTGTGGTGGACGGGGGCTGCAGCTGTGGTGTTTGCCGAGGATGCTACCGAGTGGACGAGGTGTAAAAGTCTTCGAACGGCGAAGTCGAAGCTGCTGGCCCTCTCTGGCAGTTTGTCGGGCTGTGTGCAGCCTTACTGGTGCTTCAGCCAATTTTTGGATGGGAATGCCTCATGGGCAGCCCTTAGTTTTCGCAACCGAAACCGCAGGGTTGTTGGTGCTGTAGTGCAGGGGGTTCCATTCGTCCACAGTTGTCTATTCCTGGGTCATCTGTGTAAGGTGGAACGAACTGCGAGGCCGATGTTGCATCCTGCACAAATATATGAGTGGGGAGGAGAATGATCACCTCATGTGTGGCAAGAGTGCGCTCAAGCGACTGTCGAAGGTTTGGTCCACACGTGCTAGGCGCTCGAACAACGGCAGTTTTCTGTGCACCTGAAGGACTTAGGGGGCGGAGGCAAGCGGCTGATCAGGCGGTTACCATCTCGTTGGAGTTGGATATCGTCGTCCTCTGGCGGTGGGGGGTTGTCCATGGCAGCGGTCAACTTCTCGGAATCTCACGGCGACGCACATCGATCTCCCCCGGCAGATCGGTCAGATGGTGTATGGTCAAGCAGCAGCTTCACCATGTTCTGCTTGCCGAAGGGGTTATGTCGGCCTGTCAGCGGCCCCGCAGTTCGCTGCAGGTCGATTGGGGACATCGGTTACTGCCATTCTCGGGATACGGAAGCCAATATTCTCAAAGTGAACCATAAAATTCAATTGGTTGTCCTCGCTGTCGGTGAAGCCTATGCTTGGGCCAGCGCTGTTTGTCAGTGGGAAGCCTCACTGCTTGGGTCGGTCCTCCCACTTGTCCTCTGGTCCTCGTCCAATCACCACTGTCAGAGGCCTCGCTGCAGGGGACCAATCCTCAGGGTCTCCGTCCTCGTCAAATACCACTGGTCAGGGTCCTTGTTGCAGGAATCTCCTCAGGTCGCCATCCTCGTCATCACCATGGTCAGGGCCTCGTTTGCAGGAACCGTACCTCAGATCGCCACTCATCTATCTGAAAAAACCAGAAGTGTGGGTATCTAAGAGTCATGTCGGCACCAGCCAACTCCATAATGGTCAGTGGGTGTTAAAATTCTCGTTCCAGGGGTGAATCTGTTTGCTCTACCAGCTGATAAGAACAGATTTTATTTTCGAAAAATGCTTCAATGGGTTTTACATTCATGTTCGATAATAATTTATTTGATTACAATGCCAAAGCAGAAACTCAGTTGTGATGTGTGCACTATCAATTTTATCTTAATTGTCCTAAAACATCAATGTTACAAGCTTTTGATGTTAACAAATTTTACAATGTTATTATATTGCTAGCACCTGTTATATGTTCAGTGTATATAATCCTTGACCATTTTATGACGTCGCTCAAAACTGCATCAGGAGGTTTTTGATACTTTCGTGAGACCAGGACGTTTCTGAGTCTTTAATTCGCTGGGTCGTTAGATCCTAGGGACCGAAATGAAGGCTTCAAACTGTTTACCGTGGTAGTTCTGCCGTAATTCAGTGCATGTTGGGCATATTTTCTTCCTTCCTCAGTCTTGCTTCGGGCGATGCATCTAGTCATTCTC